TTAAGGTACTTCTGTGGATTGATGGATTTCTGGATGCAGTTCAATGAGCTTCAAGATCAAATGGCTAAGAGGAAAAGGAGAAATGTCAGCTTTTAGATGTCTCAGGCATTCTTCTGTCTATTTTCTGAGAAAAAAAGAGAGAGACTGAGTTTCAATCAGAGTGTTTTGTGAGAAAGTGATGAGCAGGATCTCGGCGACTTACCCTGGAAAAGCTACATTTTGCTCGCCATACAGCTGAGAGAATACTGGCTTGTGCGATCTGATCACGATTATTGTGAACTTTTTCTGTCTGATTACGATTCCTTCTCGATTACGTAGAGGCAGGCAGTTCATTCGAGTAGTCCTGTGCGAGTTTATACTAGGGCCGTTCGAAGTATTCTTGGTATCGGGGTAATTTTTCAGTGACGAAGAAATTTAAATCATTTCAATAGATAAAGACACTCCCTGAGGGTATAAATACAAAATTTATTTAGTTATCATCAATGATCCTGATGAAAGAAGACCAGAATGACTGATGCGACAATGTTGAGAAAATGATTACTGATTAAAAAATTAAGAAAATGAAAAGAAAATTGAGAAACGATTGAAAACGAGTAGTGACTGACCACCACTAATATTCGCCATTTCCTGGCGAATATTAGTGGTGGTCAGTCACTTTTCAGCTCTAAATGCGTTTTGAGAATTTTTATCCTCGGAACCGTTCACTTTGTTGCACGCCCCGCCCACTGTGGGCGGGGCTTGGGTCGTCTTTCATATGCTCTGTGAATTTTAACCATGCCACATCCACCCCGAGCATTAATGGTTCCCTAATCAGTTCCCTCGAAGTAATTCCTTTTTAGGTAGTCCCCAATTTAAAGCGGTCACGCAGCCAAACACAGTCACACATGAAACTTCTGGTTTATATATAGAGGTTCTTCTTTTCTAATTGACACCATGGGTTTAACCTTTAATTCTTCTAGGTGATCGATGGTATTCGTTCGAAGGTCGCCTTGGAGTTCAACGTGAAATGCCCAACAAGTGTCGTATTCCCTCTGAATCAGTGTAGTGATGATCTGCTGGTTCTTGAGTCAGAAGGTGTTCGAGTAATCAATCAGTTCAAGCGAATGAGCGCTATGGAGAGCGAATTCCAGAAGAACTTCATTGAAAATGATTACGGATACGGTAGGTAGGATTTCTTCTTTATCATGCTCAGTGAGAACTGTGATGCTGCTACACCAACTTATGAAAATCAAGGACCATCAAGGATTGAGGAAAAATCTACGTGGAGTATCCCCTCCCTTCCCCACCACCACAAGAAGCTCGCCCCTCTGGTGTACCACGTTTCCATCTAACCTACCATCTCTCCAACTTCTCCAAAATTTAGGCGTCGATTGGCAGGCAGAAAGGAAGACACTTCCGATCAACACTCTGCAATAGTAATATTGTGGCACCGCCAACTAGGAAACCATTGGGGTGGGGGCACGTGAAATGTGAGAACCATTAATCAGAAAAAACTCTCTCACGGCAAACTACGATCCACCTCTTTCCAGCTGCCAGATACGACTCCTTTGCGGCGCAGTTCGGCGACGAGGGAGGGGCATTTTGCGCTTTTGCTACTTCCCATCAACGTGTCGAACCATGTAGAAAACCTCTTCGTGAGTTCACAGGTTTCACCATTGTGCTCGATGATTGCCGCTCCAGCTTCACTGGAGTTCACAGGTTTCATCAGGTAAAAGTATGCAAACCGGAACTAGTAGAGCAATGAAAGTACAGAATATCTTCTGTCCTCGCCCCTACCCTGGCCGAACTGTGCCTCCTTTGCTCCTGTGAATGGTAAGAGCTGGTAGGTGTCAGTAGATATTACACGTTTGTGAGTCGGAAGTAGTGTAGTGGCTCGGTGACCACGAGCGTGGTCCGGGGTCAGTCTCGGCTGGAGTCCCGTCCAAGCTGACCAAACGTACCATCCTACGGGTACGGTAGATTGATACGAGATGCAGCTGGGAGGATAAGAATACTGACCTCCACATTGGCTGGCACGCATAAGTCATTGTATAGGTCAAACTACATTCATTAGGCCACTATGATTCTGAATGGAAGTGGAATGCAAGCCGCATCTCAAGAAGGGTTTACCCTACGAAGAATATCTGCTTCGATAGCGATACTGTTTGTGCCAGCAAGTGCTAAATTTTCCCTTTTTCAAACTTCCAGTTCCACTCGATCTTCAGCAAAAAGGCATGTGGATGGAAACAAAATGATCCTCTTTAGGCATCTCGGGGTCGTTTTAAAGGACAAACTATACACTTACCTCCGTGCATCTTGATCTTTGCCAATGTGAGGTAATTGGAATTCATTTCAGACAAAATGATTGATTGTCTGCTGGACTGTTTGAATGTCAAGCTGCCAGAAGTACGCGTTTATGAAGGACGAAGATTCATGATAGCTAATAGAAAGGAGGACAAGGTTGGTAGTTACTATCTACCGTTGCGCCTTTTTTCAACCGTCCAACCGCACCACCCTTCATGTTCAAACAATAAGTTTTTCTGAAGCCATGGTAAAAGTGAAAGTAATAGAATCAAAAGGAGTCTTCTGCATAGTTTATCTAACTCAACGTTGAACCAGTCAGAGAAGTGATTTTAAGACCTCACGCACTGTTGGTGGAGAAGCATTTCAATCATTCGAAATTGTCGTGGCAGTGGATACGGTATTCAGTCGTCGGTTTGATCTTTGTGTAGATGTGTACAGGAATCTCGATGGAGTTCAATCACACAACGGTAAGAATACTTCGTGGGAGCTGAACTTTCCTACATTTCCGAGTTTCTATCATAGTTGTAACTTATCTAAAGACAAACTGTACACTCAACCTCTGTGATTCCTGGTGTGCGAAGTGAATGGGCCCGCTGCTGCAGTAAGCTTGCCCCTTTCTTCGGTCGAAATTGCACGGGAACGATGGGAACGGACTGGGGTAGTGATGCAGGAGTGGCATTTCCACACTCCATCCGCGCTGCCACATGGCCGGCCACATGCCTAACTATAGCCAACCGCGCTACTTGTCTGCCGTCTCTCTCTCTTCTGTATTCTTCACTGCCGAGTGCATTTTTCGATGTGGCATCTTACCATTAGTATAGACGCAAGTGCTGAGCCTAGAGGATTGATTGCGTGGGCGAAGTGTAAATTCGCTGCCCGGGTTGCACTACCCTCCGGCTCTGTTCCCGTGCACATTCGAGCGCGAAAAACTAACACGCTTCTCTAAGGAGGGAATAATTCACCTCGCTTCTTGGAAAGTGCCGTCCTCGAAAGTGAGTGCACAGATTGTCTCTAAAAAGGTGAGTGAGTGGCGCTTCCTAATGTCCCTAATGCTTTCCAGCTCCCGATCTCTCGGTTGTGGCCAGTATCAGCAATCTCACATGGCGTGTGACATCCGACTTCTACATTCTCCTACGAGGTGTTTTGGAAAAGAATTTCGGCGATTCTCTCATCCCAATACCGGAGACGATCCCGATTGAAATTCTGCAGAAACCTACCAGTGGATGCGTGCGTTCCAGCGTTTATAAGTTTTTACCCACTGGTGTTTCATTATTTGTATTTTTCACCAAACAAAAAAATTTCAGGAGGTCGGCTGTGATAACAAATATGCGACTCTTTCTTTCCGACTGCTATTTGACAACGTGGAGTTGGATTGTCTGGTTAGTTGTGCTTCAGCCTCTATGATGTAACTGTGCTCGCGGTAAAGTTCTCCTAGGCGTTTACAATTGCCATGCTAGCTTCAGAGGATGAGGAGTTTTACTTGAACTTATGGTTGGGGGAAAAGAGCACCAGTTGGGTGAGCCAATTCTGTCTTTCAGATAGGCCTTTTCGCTTTCGCATATTGCTGGGAATTATGCACGGTTCCATGCCAGACGGCTTACTTGTAGGTTGAGTCAGAACTGCAGTCATCTGTTGATACGGTTCGATTTCCCTCTTCGCTTTCCTTCCCAGGAATTTTCTGTCTTTGTAAGCGTGTGACCCTATGCAACTTCACAACTGGAACTGTAACTGCCCTCGTGGTTTAGTACAGTCGTCATCCGGTGACTTGATTTGGGCGGCTAGGGACGCGACGTCGCTGCGGTGGGTTGCGAGCGCGGCGATCAGCTGTATTTGCCATTCTCCTTAGTTTAGCTGTTTTGGCCAACAAACGACACCATAATTATATATAAAGACAATATCCTCCATTATGTACTAAACTCAGCATGCTAATACATGCGTTTTATACGACGATTAATTTCTACTTTTTTGACGTTACTCTTTTTATCGTCTTTATGTAGTATCAAGATAAGGAATGTTTTTTTTTCTCTTTGCAATGCAGTGTTTTTGCGATTTTTTTCCAGGTATTTGTTCAGTTGTCTGCTTAAGTGTTTAACTGTAGCCAGAAACCAGGAGAATCTCAATCATAATTTACCGTGAAGACAAGAAACAATTAATCGTGAGAAAACAGCCGAAACAGCGTAAACTAGGGAAGAAAATGGCTAAAATTGTCTGGAAACAGCTGATCGCGCCGGGCGCGTTGCAAGCACAGTAACATCCGCACAAGAACCGCGTCGTATCCCTTGGCCGGGCAATTAAGGGTGGTGCTTATACTTGGCGGCAGCTAGCGTGAGCGCCGAGCGGTCACGGGGAGTGAGGGGACTAGCGGGCCGACCAGCGCCGAGGAAGAGGTTGATGGGCGCGAGCGAGGCGCATGGTCTCTACTCCCCGCCGCTGCAAACGCTAGCAAAACGCTGGTGAAACGCTGGTGACGCTGGGAACGCTAGATCGATATCCATCCTCTCCCCGGCACTGCCGCTGGCGTACGCTGGAAGCGCTACGCTACGCTGCCGCAAAGTATAAACGCAGCCTAATCAACTCACCGAATGACGGCTGTACGTTTCTCGCCCTGTACAGATTCGATAGTTCCCACCTCCACTCCCAACCTATTCTGACAGCTTCGCGACTAAGGGGGGCTAAAAGTTGACGTTTCGGCGAATTTACTTTCTTCAGAGCCGTACCGTTCAGAGGTGGAACTTTCCGAACTTCCCGAATTTCCATCCACCCAAGCTTTGAAGAGCGATTCCCGCCGAAACTCCAGCCCTTCATACCATTTCTTACGCTACTACAGCGGGGAGGTTTACCGGGGGTTGTTCTTGAAGAAAAATCGTATTCTCACATCCGCAGATCCTGGTCCTTGCCATGTATGGGGTGAAATCGTGCGCAGCTGCAGTAGCGTCTCACTTTCTTGGTTGAATTTGGTTAAATGAAATTGCGCGTGAACGGGAGTGGATGCTGATGACAGCTGGGTGTCGTCTCCATACTCCGCCCGCCCTGCCACACAGCCAGCCACACGCAAAAGCGCTACATATATCCGCTATCTCTCTTCCGATTGTGCTCTACCGCTTAGTGCGTGTTCACTGGAGGATTTTGGTTTCGGGGCAGGTGTTGCACCTTGAGGACCGCCGGGTAGCACTATCATCCACCCCTGTCCCGCGCACTTATGATCCGAGGATGTGGCCCGCTACTGCAGCTGCAAACCCATTCACCTCGCACATGGTAAAGACCGTTCTTGGAGGTGACTGAACAATTTGTATTTAACGGAGCGATGAATTCTTACCATACCCGCATGCACAGCCCTTCCTTGATTGGTGGGTCAGACACACTAAAATTGAGAGCCCAAAATTAGGGTGCGAAGAAGTCCGTTTTGTATTTAATTTGTTACGCTGAAGATGCGCTTCAAGACACCACCTTAAAGAACTTTCTAAGAAAAGTAATTTTTCAGTCTTTTCAATCATTTCTGATTCCAGGTCCCGCGAGTGAGCCCTCAGTCGCCACAAACTTCCCTGTTTGGGAAACCGTTCACGCCGTTTGCAAAAATGCAGCTGCATAGTGCACGAGTCAGTTTCGACGTTTTTATTGACGGCCAAAGTGAACTGGATCTCGTCTGTGTCAGCGCCAACCTCATCGACACTAGAGAAGGTTGGTTCTAATTTTTTTGCCGTGTAGATTTGAGGGATGGGAAAGGGGGTAATAGCAGAGGGGGAAATTTGTAATGGGGGAGTGTATTTTGCAAAATTTGTGCCCAACAACAAGAAGTGCCCTGAACACAACAGTCTGCCATGAATTGGCCGCATAACAATCGTGCACGTGACTTGACTGCTTCGATTCAAGGCGGTTGCCTAAGAATCCGCACCGCCTGGTCTACGATTCCACCTCCCTCATCAGCACTCCTCTACTATTTGCCGCCTAACAGATGAGAGGCGCACCAATAAGGGAGGTGCAATGTTGAGCCTGACCCCGCCCGTACAACGGTTGTGGTCTTTCATTTGAGATCTGTAATGTGCACGTTCTAATTAACTTAATTTTCTAGACAGTTCTTCTTTTAGTGCAAATGGGAAGTGGAACGAAGAACCTGTTCAACACCATCCTTCGACCTCGTGAAGCTTCAAATAAGAACTATCAGTTGATGTCTGAAGCGCACATAATGATGCGGAAAGACGAAGTGCCGGTGGTCACGCTGGTGTTGATGTATTCGCGTGTGTTGATGCTCTACGACTGGCTGAACGACGCCAAGGACTTTGTCATGTTGACTCGGACTTCGTACCGAAGTGTGAGTTGTTCAGATCAGAATTGCTTTGATGGCTTGGTTTTCTTAATTGAGGCAGACTCCTCATAGGACAATATAGAGTAATGGGTGCCTTACTCGCTGTAGTGGTGTTAGTAACTTAAGCTATCCTAGCAATGCTGACGCTCGCTTTTGGGCGATTTTGAGAAATCCATCAGTGAGACTGGGTCTATCCATGATGTCTTTCTACACCTGCCTCCGATTTTTTCCTGACGTCCGCCCCAGATTCTTTGCTTGATTTGCATGCTCGGTTGTAATAATTGATGGTCTCATATACACTAGCCTTTTGCCCCCCCCCCCCTATTCCATGGTTCATCCAGTTCCTAGTCTTCATCGTAGGTCGCCTTCTGACTACGCGGTGACGCGCGATGCGCGTTGGCTAAACACGCAGCCTGGCATTGATCAGCACTGGGCGCCAAGGCTTTGGGAGAGCACCAGGTTGTATGAAGGCAGCGCCTGCCTTCCTCTTATCCTATACTTTCCCGAAAAAAACGGCCGGCGCTGATCGATTCATGTCTGCGGCTGCTTTCGCATCTACAGGATGTAAATCTGTTGCAATATAGCGCGTCGTCGCGCGTCATCGCGTATGAGCGCTGCTTTGGCACCGAATGTCCCATGGGTGTAGTGCGGGAAGTCGACGTTGCGGCCAGGGTACATCATCTTTATGTGAAACACATGTGGGGGGGGAGTCGCACTTGGCCGTTGGAGGGGAGTCGTATTTGGTCTTTGTTGAGAATTTGTCGCAATGGGAAAGATTTTTTACTGGGTTGTTGACTTTTCGCGGTTTTTCCGTTTCACATTGGCTATACCCCTCCCGCTCGACAGCAAAATTTTCGGAAAATTTCGAATTTCGGAAAAAGTGGTAGGATGGAAGCTTGTAGGAATGTGATAGGTAAGTGATGGGAAAGGTAGGGGGTCGTACAGACCCTCCTGCGAAGAGGGGGCGGTCGTGATGACACCACCATTTCACATATCACTATGCTGTATCCTGGGGCCAAAGCGATATCGCAGTTGATGTGACGGTACGGCATTTGCAACAGGTTCCATTTCATTTGAGGTGGTAATGGAAGTGCAATTTTTCAAGTCAACCGGGCCAGGGTATAACTCGCATATTTCTGATGATTTCTGCAATGCGGATATGGATGCCCCTAATCCCAGCTTGAATTTCATGACTTGGGAGCACTGCTAATTGACCTGGACATTTTGTGCTAATATTTGTTTGGTTGAATGCTGTAGAAATACCTAAGGATTCAGACAGTGACGATCCGGTACGTTGTCTAGCCAATGGAGGAGTCGTAGGTCGCATGGGACGAGTTCCGTCAGGACAGCAACAGACGATATCATTGAAGATAACACTGAGGTAGGTCTTACCTTTTATTATCTTTTTGTTTTTCTGGAAGTCGTTTGAAATGGTAAAAAAAAATTGAAGAGATTGACATTTCCAGGGACTCGGACTTGTATCTGCTCGAGAATCCAAGCATGAGTAACAGCTTTGCAGTAGTGGTGAACACAAGTGCCGTTTTGAATGTCAGCGACCCTGGTGGCGTACTGACGTTTAATTTGGAAATACAAGTGCGTTTTCTCAAAATTTGTCGTTTACTGGTTCTGATTGACGATTATTCAACTTGCTTTACAGAATCTGAACCTTGGTTGGTGTTGCATGCAAAATGAAGAAACAACCTTGAATCAGTGTTCGAATGAGTTCTCAATCGCCCTTAGTATGACCATGGGTGACCCCGTAGCAGAGGATTCTAACAAGCGACGGGGATTGCCTTCGTTGGCGCTCAAAAGACACACGATAGAGGTGAGCCTTGGAATTCGGGTTGAAATCTTCTTTATCAAGTTATGATACTGAGGAGCGAAATGGAAATACCTGTGCATCTTGGTGGGAAGACCTCTTTGCATCTTGGAAGTTTTCTAAGTTTATTCGGAAAATGTAGTGCAGGGGAGGGGCAAAAAAGTCACTTTTCTTCCTTGACTTTCAGGGCGCTATAAGTTACACTTAATTAAATTCTGATGGGACATTTCCACCACCATATTCAACAGCATATTGTATACTATCATGATGCTCCGCCACAGCCTTCTGGACGAGCGCCATCGAGAGATTCTGCCACGCGACCGTGATTCGGTACCTGAGTTCAGCGAGAATCGTTGATTTCTCCGCCACTGTAGACTACCCTGTTGAGCTCCACCCGAACCGGCGAATTGAGGGGGTTTAGGTCAGGTGACACACTTGGATATTCCGTCTTCTCAGGTACTCAACGTCCTTCCATTCCAAGTAAGCGAGAGTTTTTTCCAACGTCCTTTCAATTCGGTGTGGAGGCACCCAATCCTGTAGCAGTACGAAGTCTCCAAGAAGGTACAGGCGATGACATGAAGGCAGGATATTCTCCACGAGTTGGTCGATGTAACCGTCAGCGCTCACCTTCAGTCCGGAGTCCACGAAGAAAACATCGGTCTTCACATTCCAGGAACTTCCGGTCCATACCACCAACTCGCGCCTTGCGACTGTGCTGAAGATGATATCCTGGCCGCGTAGCGACGTTGTCGGAGATGCTTGATGTTGGAGGTCTTCCAGATCAAGAGTGCCGGTCTCCAGGTAGCTGTCCATGGGTGACTCCATACAAGAAGTTTCGCAGCTGTTTGGAGGTGACGTGAATTCCAGAGGTCTTCTCCAGTCAGGCTGCGATTGGAGATGACTTCATATTTTGGTGTACATGAAGGTGATGGGCGAGAGCCAGCTCCTGCTTATCGAGGAATCTTGGGTATCTTCCGCCCTGGTACTCGTATCCACGTCCTCTGTCTGGGCTGCGAAAACTTTGCTGATATGTGACTTGGGCCTGAAGTGGAACTTTTTTGCCCTCCCGCCCCCCTTCATTTCCGACGATAAGGGACTATGGTAAGTGACAAAAGGACTTTATGAATTGAAGTCGAATGTGTAGGGCATCTGAGCGAGATTGTTGAATGAAAAGGGGTTTATCCTTCATTCTTGACGGTACTAATTGTTTAAACCATACTTCTTACTTTTTTCGAGCTTAAATGGCATAGTAACTTTTAACTGGACAGTGGCGCCACTTTCCTTGCGCGCGGTCCTCAGGCCTGATGTTGGGTCGGCTCCGCCGAGCCCAATCAAGCTTCCTATTTCTTCCTTTAACGGCGGATTGGTACCAGCCTGAGCTCTTCTGGGAGGATAAAACTCTGACCCTGTGCATTGGTTGGCCTTCAGTATGGACCAGCGCATCCGGCTGCCGCTACGATTCGAATAGAGCTAAATTCATGCGCATACCGAAAGGAATTGACATGCCCTGAGCTATGATGATTTAATTAGTGAGTCCTAACTATCTTCGAAGATACATCGGAGATTTTTTTTCTGTGTTTCCTTTTTTTATGTGTGCCACTGTCAATAGAATGCCGATAATAAATCATAAACCTTAATCGCTCAATATTTTATGAAAAACTATTTCAGGTTTATATTAATGGGATGATCGGCAGGTTATCGTACAAAGACATACGAGTTCTTCGTAGTGCTATTGAGGGGTATGTTGAGAACCTGAGGCAGAACTGTAGTGTTACTATGGTACCTGTAATTGGAACTCCGCCCAAACCGAAAAGTGAGTCATTTCATAAACTGAGGCCAATTTTCTTCCCTTTTCCTTTTTTCTGCTTACGAAATCAAAGATTTTGGAGTCATTTTGATGACTGGCTAATGCTGCTCATTGCAGACATCGAAATAGGTCGTATTGTTGTGAAGTCTGAGAGGATAGACCTTTGGTTGCTGGATGATTTTCAAGGAAGCTCGATTCCACTGCTGCGATTTTCGTTGTTAAGTAAGTTTCAGTTTTAGGTTGATTAGGTGTAGTTCCAAAACTTGCTGAGATAGTAAGGGGTGCGGACCCTGGTTTTCCCAGTTTTACTTTCTCATGTCTTATTTCTGTTAAAAAAAACTATGCGAATCTGATTGATCTCACCGGTTGACAGCTTTTCGACAGTTTGTTCACAAGCTTCAAGTATTGTTGCCATTCATACCGTTTACTATTGATGTCGTCGCAATCTGACTGGGCGGTGTCAGGAGGCATGGAATGAGCCCGCCTCGCCTGCATTTCTAACCAGTCGTGGCCGCTACTACGTAGAAAACAATCAGTGGCAAAAAACGCCACGCAAACTCATCCAAGCTTCCTGACACTGCTGCGTACAATTGCGACGTCATGAACTGCTTTTCAATGATTGCATGGTTTTCTTACACGCCATCCTCTCGTTCTGGACCACTCGATTTCATAATTGACGCCGTTGGAAAAGCCAAAAATCCGAAGAATGAAAAAGGATGGTGTACGTTCGAGAATTGGAGAAATATTAACCCCGATACCTGTCGAAAATGATCGACGGTCCAATAACCTGCTCTTTTTGGAAGGCAAAGGAAATGGAGAAACGCGGAATCGGGAGTACTCACAGAAAAAAAAAACTGATATCAGACGATTTCATGAAATTCTTTCTTGTGGAAAACTAGCCATTCGATTCGTACCTAGTCTGCGCTAGTTCTCTTAACTCTTAATCCTCGTCGGGCGGTGAGTGCTCAAAAAGGTGTCGGCACGCTGGGAGTCTGACCAGCACCCTCCTAACGATTGTAAGCTGTCAGAGACCCGCCTCCATTGTCTACAAAAAGATCAACCATTCATACGCATTTGATGAAAATTGTTTCTGTAAACACGATAATCCAACGAAATGCTCTCGTTGCAGATTTGTCAATCGATCGACAATCAGAGGAGCGTCTAGTATCGAATTTTTCGGTATCCGCAGATTACTTCAATCAAAGAGTTTTTGGATGGGAGCCAGTAGTAGAGAAATGGTCGGTGTTACGATTTCTCATGACGAAGAAGGAAAACACAAGGAATATGGATCTTATAGCTGGTAAGGTATTGAGTCCAAGGCCGCCAATAAGTTCTTCATTTCGCGATATAACGAGAAAACTAACCTTGGCGTCGTTGCAGTCCGACGGGGCGGGGTCAGGAGGCGTAGACTGAGCCCGACCGCGGCTGTGTTTTACTAATAATGAGCGCGTTCACATATAAAACAACCGGTGGGTCGAAACAGCGGCAGGGTTGGTCTACACTTCAGCTCTCGCCCCCCCCCCCCCTGACAGCTCCCGTTGAACTGCAGTAGTATCAGCCTGTATAGGGTGGTTGGATAACTGGGTCTTCTGACAACTTGACACTAATTTCGTCAATGTTTACAGAATCACGCTCGACGTTAGATATCAATATTACCGAACAGCTTATGCAGCAGGCCGTTCAGGTTGGCTCACGATGGCCACTGATCCACGCATCGTTTGAGAGAGACGGCTTCAGGTAATCTATGGGGTTATTTGCACTACATTTGCATGGCGCAGTTCGGCTTAGGGGTGGGGGAGGGGGCATTTTGCTTTCGTCGGATTGTTTATCAGTTTATGTTCGCTAACAGTTCTTTTTCTGATGAGACTGAAAGTGGATTCCATGAAATGATGCAAGCGAACCACCTCGGTCCCAGGTGTACAAGGTGGTCTTGTGCTAGTTTCGTTGAGTAATTTTGTGCCCCCAACA